AGGTGTTTTCCTGGAACATCATCTGCACGGAACAGTGGCGCCGCGCGTCCACGTGGAAGGGGGCCACGTACGCGTCCTCCTCGTGGAACTCGCGCAGCCACCGACCCTGTTGAGAGCAACGAAGAATAGAATTAGTTTTCAATCATTGACCAGCCGCTTTTTTTGTGTCGTCTCGAGTCAACGCCATTGACGCTTCTTAACCCTGGAGAAGCCACGGGGTCAAATTTGGCCCCTCTAAATTCTGCTACTCAAATGCCACCCTTAAATGCCAAAGGGTCAAATTTGGCCCTCATTCTAAATTAGGACTAAAGCATTGAATATTTGAAAAAAACATCTATTTTGTCGGGATGTGAATCTCAGCACTGCGGACGATTCGATACACATCTTGATGCGCTCACTACCAGCGATGCGATACTTAAACGATACGTGGAATTTTCTGGCGACACGATGCGATACGTTTCACCGTCTTCACGATGCGATACGATGCGATACACATTTAGTTCAAATCAATGCGATCCGATATGATACGATGCAATTTGTTGCAATATGGTGCGATTAAACATGACGTAAATAAGCAAAGAAAACACGTTTTAAAAAGATGGAATTCAGTATGGCATGACAAAAAGGATACCACTTTATTCCTTGTAAACAGTAGAACGTGTAAAACAACTTCTGGAAGCCCTTTCCCAAGTGGGTTTTGTGCAAAGAAAATGTCAACAATTTGGCACCTGAGACTCACAGCTGTTGCTGCAGTGGACACACCGAGTGTCCTATATGAAATATCCATCTCCATAGGACAGAGAATAAAATGCAATTTTTACAATATGCCTGCTGTGTGTATTGTAGCCCAGGGGTCCCCAAAGTTTTTTGCGCCACGGACCGCTTTATGTCAGACAATATTTTCAGGGACCGGCATGTAAGGTGTGGCGGATTAATACATCCATCCATCCGTTTTCCGAACCGCTTGATCCTTACAAGGGTTGCGGGGCATGCTGGAGCCAATCTCAGCTGTCTTGGGGCAGTAGGCGGGGGACACCCTGAGCCGGTTGCTAGCCAATCGCAGGGCACACAGAAACGAACAACCATTCACACCCACACTCACACCTAGGGACAATTTTAGAGTGTCTGTAGGTGCCGATTTGACATTGGTCGAATTTTGTGTATTCTATTTGCTGTTTAGTATTGATATGTTCAATTGGCATATTTTATAATTCGGTAGAAATAGTCGTCGCTATTATTTGATGCATGTTAGAATATTTCTTTCGCAGAACTACTTGTTTTGACATCACGTGACTGGCGAATGAGGACCGTGTCCACAAGTAGTAAGTGAGTCAGACAGAAAGAGAGAGAGATGAGGCTTTTTTTTTCCTCCAATTTGTCAATGCTTTGCAATGCTTGCCGCCGGCGTTGTACGTTGTGGCTTTGCGTCGGGTGCAGGTGGACCTCGGTAGAAATAGTCGTCGCTATTATTTGATGCATGTTAGAATATTTCTTTCGCAGAACTACTTGTTTTGACATCACGTGACTGGCGAATGAGGACCGTGTCCACAAGTAGTAAGTGAGTCAGACAGAAAGAGAGAGAGATGAGGCCAGTTCAACATTAGAAGCGATACAGTTTTTTGACCATACAAACGAACAATTAGACAAACTGAAAAGGACCTTTTTTGTATACTTTATTTTTTAATAAACCGAAAATACAAAGAAGCCATTGTCATGTTGTTTGCGTACAGAACTTCGGGCGCAAACGGGTGCCAAAGGAGGAGAGAGATATCAATAAGTCGCTCGTGGCGCTGGGCCGCGTCATTACCGCTCTGGCAAACAGGAGAACTCACATCCCGTACAGGTGCAGCACCCCCACACACACACACACCCGACAACAGATGTCAATGGTGGAGCTGACCTCATTGTTGACCAAATTCCTGTAGAGGGTCCAAGCTGACGCGCTTCCTGCGAGACTCGCTGGGTGGTGGGACGAAAACCACCATCATTGCCACCGTCCCAAGGGTCTCCAGTGAGCTTGGGGTGCGTTTGTCCCACTGTGTTCAAAAAAAAAAAAAGTCCTGAGATGGAGACGACATGGACTTGGACTCCAGTTCATTGAGTCCACCATTTGGCAAATCAACTCTACATAATCACTCAACTGATTTCAAATGACATCATAGCACAGATAATGATCTCGAGCATGCCTTTGCATTGTGCGCAGGAGATGCGGGTGATCATGGAGAGCGCCAGCCAGGCCAGGAGCATTGTGAACAAGGTCCAGGCGAGCAGTTAGAGCACGGTTGTCAAATGGACGGAGGGCCAGATCAAAAATTTTGCCGCAAGCCGAGGGCCGGACTGATCAAATAGTCATTGAAAAATTTAAAAACGACCACATTTTATTGATTCATTTATTGATTTTTAAATTCTTGATTAAATGAATGTTGAATGAATGCTGAATTGCTTTCTTGTCATTACACGTTTCCGTGCAACGAGACATCACTTAACAGACACGCTCTGCACAAGAATGTAAAACAACGACAGACACGGGTTACAGTGCAAAGGGCCTGTCGGTACTCGCTATGTAAAGCGCCCCGAGATCTTAGTTTCGAAAGGATACCGCGAGGGAGGGAGAGGTTAAAAAAAAAAAAAACACACCCGAACTCTACTCCAGTGATGGCAATGGCGAGTGATGAAAAAAGCGGAAAGGGGCGTGGCCTGGACGGGGGCGCGGTTACTTACAAAAGTGGCACTAAACACGCTGAAGATGAAGGGTATTGAATTGACACACTATTTGAAAGTTGAACAGAAAAAAAAATGCCAAGATTGCCACTATTCTTTCAAGTGAAAATTTGTGCAATTTTGCTTATGCATTCCTGGTGAGCACCAATATGTCACTTCAAATTTGCTGCTCAAAATCAAAACTAAAAAAGGCAACACATTCCCTGCCATATTTGAGATTTGTTCATTACTTGTATTCATAAAGTGTTGTGTAAATGTGATAAAAAGCTGTCGATTCGTACCTCATACAGTGATAGTCAAGTCCCACACTGTTTACGATATATGGGTTATGAATGTATTTTATGATATAAAGTGGATGTCTATTTACAGTATATAGAACAATATACAGTTTCATGAGGTACAATACTTGATTTTCTCTTCATTTTAAGCTTTTTAGCAAGCGCTAAAAGCTTGTTGGTCCTGTCCGTCTTTTTCCACTCTCTTTTTAGCCAACTCCTCTTGTTTTGACACATGCTCCAGGCTGTCGAAAATCGAGTCGTTACTTTTCAGTAGAAATGTCTGTTTTCGGTGTTTCACCGAGGTTGCGTGACTCTGTAAAGCTTTCCGTCCTCTCGATCCGTATAGAATGACATCGTCACACACTGTACACAGACCTTTCACGGCGACATCGAGCTTTTTCACCAAATCCGACACAAGCACAATGGTTCCTCTTTACTGTTTCCTACTGGGGACACCGTCAGCTTTCTATTCAACCAGTCCCATCGAAACGTGTTTTTCAGATCTGCATCTATCTGACGCACTTTAGCTTCGTCACGTGTCTCGATAACATTCGGCATTTGAGAGAAAGGGGTTTAGGAAGGCGAACACGGATTGGTTGTGATTTGCATTTTCCGATATAGCGACCAATCACAACAAGTAAGACATTGGTTTTAGCCCATATAGGAAGTAATGACAAACTAACGCTTCGCGATAAAAAACGGGATTCAAAATGGATGCTTGCAAACGTTACTTGTAAACATTACGAGCCCCGAATCTGCCGAAGACAAGTCCGGACCCCCCGCCCCAGAATTTTTTTACGGATTTGGAACAATATAAAATAGGTCCATTTTGACTCGAAAAAAAGTGGAATTCCGCCAAAAAGCGGAAAAATCTCATCCCTGTCTTAGTTACCGTATTTTCCGCACTATTGGGCGCACCAAAAAGTCTTCCATTTTCTTAAAAGCTCACCGAGCGCCTTAAAATCCGGTGCGTCTTTTGTGTGGTCATTACGGTAATACGCCGACTCCAAGATGGCTCCTTCCTGGAGACATGCTTCCAATGTTATAACTTGCTGTTGGTTCAGTGAACTGTGTCGCTGCTTTATCAAATACGTTTGTGTTGCAGCTCCGAAAAAAGGAGAGCTGTGTGTGGTGTTAATTTTTAAAAACAGTCTCAACAAATACAGGTACGTCTTTGTCTGTCTCCGTGCCTTCTTCCGTTCGACTCGAGAGGCGTTCAAGACCGCCTCCGAAAAACGTACACTAGTGATTACTTCAATGAAACTACGGAAATTGAAAATAATACATCAAAACTGAAAAGCAAGCGAGGATATCACAAA